TGCGTCACAGCAGGTGGTGAGGGAGGGGCCTGAGGTCGCACAGCCCCGGTCTCTCCGTTGCTCCCAGCACAGAGGTGATAGCAGGGCTCCGGAGCATGGTGCAGCTGTCTGGAGTGATCCCAGGCTCTGGGCAGCTGCAGCAAGCAAGCAGGGGACAGGCTACAAACAGCTATCACCACAGAACCTGGGCTGGGGGGCAGGGCATCCTGCCATGTACCCCTTACCCTTATTTAGTTTTTCTGCCATGCCAGCATTCCAGCACCTTCTGAGCTGGCAGTGTGGTGTTTTTCAGCACTCCGGCCAAAAAATGTGGTGGAATCTCCTTCCCGGGAATTTTTTTAGGGCAGGTCAGACAAATATTTGTCTGGAATGGTTTAAAAAGAGATGACCCTGCTACAACCAAGAAGGTGGACTAGAAATCTGCCAAGTTCCTTTCCAGACCACCCCCTGCCCTGCCCCCCTGCTTTTTTTTTTTTTTCCCCCCAAAGGATTCTAGACAAGGATTATTCCAATCCAAGACAAGGCTCCCTGCCTGCCCCCAGTTATGCGGGAAAAAAGCCTCATGTTAAGTTACAGTACCAGCCCAGGGCAGGCAGCAGCTCAGCTCCAGCTTTGGCCCAAGGCTTGGAGTCAAAGCCAAAGCTGAGCCATTGCCTGACCCAGGCTGAGCTGGCCCATGTGGCAAGGAACAGGCACGTGGCTGGGCAAACACAGGAGACCAAGGCAGGGGGGAGTGTAGAAAGAAGCAATGCACAGGGGACATCTGCACATGCAGCTTGGGGGAAGGCAGGGGAGACCATACTGCATGCTCCACCCCCACTTACCTTCTGCTCCATTTCTGCTCGAGGGCAGGGGGAAGGCAGGCAGGGATCTGGCATGTTACCCCTTGCCACAGCCGGAGGGTGGGGTGGTGGGGGGAAGGGGGAAGAAGAGGGAAAAGAGAATTTAACACTACCTTCCACTAACTAGATTCTATACTTGAACAATTATAACAAATGTATTAGGTTCTATACCTGGAAAATTATTAACTGGCAAGGGGGAGAACGGAGGTTGTCTTCATTTTGGATTTAGGTAAATGCAGCATCATGCCCATGTTGCTTTTTAGATGCATCTTGAACAAATTACATCAGGGATGTCAAACTCCTCTGTCCCCTCGGGTCAGATCTGGACTGCAGGGCTCCCTGTGACTTGGATCTGACACAGTGGCAGTGGAAAAAGTGGTAGCTACTGTGGGAGCTAATGCAGCCCTCATTGACTCTTCACTGCCAACCTGTATCCTCAGCAAGGCTCCTTAACAAGGTTTTGGTGGCAGGCCTGGCCCCTACAGGAGGCCACAAACTAGACAACATGGCTCTCTAGGGTGTATCTGGCCCACAGGCCATGTTTGACACCCCAGAACTAAACTGAAGTCCTTTGGTTTCTCACCACAATATACTTGTTCTCCAGATATCAAATTGCTTTTGCAGCTTTTCTCTGAACCCATTCCAATATGTTTCAACATCTTTTTTTTTTTTGAGCACGAACTGAAGAACTGGAAATATTACAGTAATTTCCTTATTAATGCTATGTATAAAGTGAAATATTTTCCGACTCCCAAGACTCAGTGTTGTAAAGACAGCTTAGAAACATTTGAGAACCTAAATATTAAAACAAAAAACAAAAAAACACTGGGTTTTTTTTTGCTTTGCTTTTAATTTGGCTGAAATTTCATTTCACACTGAAAGTTTGTTTTACAGTAAGCCAGTCACAAAGAAAGTGTCCAGCTGGGCAGAATGACCAGTGATTTCATAATGGACATTAAAACTTGTTAAGGAGTCCTCGGTTTCATTCATAAAATATTGACAATAATTTCAATTCTCCTTTATTAAATCAGCATACCACTCAAAGCATGGTGTAAGCTTATATCATTATGCTGCTGCTTGGCTCAGTTTAGTTTATAGTAACTATAGTCAATATCAAAGACAACGTAATTTCAACTCACTTGACAATTAACAAGAAAAAATATTTGTTCAAATTGAGGTATTTCTTTTAAGAAATTACTGAACATCACTGGTATTAGGAGGTAATGTTAAACCCATATTATTTAAAAACTTGAGAAAATGTATAAAACAAGTCAGTATTTTTTTAAATAGAATGCTTAAATTTTCCATGCATTTTAATAAAAAATATAAAATCAAATTTTTAGCACTGAAACTATACTTTTCATTTGGAAGTGGTTAACATCTAGTCAAAGAATCTCCACCACCTGAACAACTGATTAAGGTATTTTTCTTCTTTTCTTTTTTGCTTAATTATGAAATATAATTCAGTCCAGTGCAAAGATAACGGTCTATATACATATACCTTAAAAGCCTGTTAACAGGGGAAAATCGGCAACAGAAAAAAAGTTTAGGACACTTCCTCTCATTAGCAGTATATGCTGTTATTACGTTCCAGGGATTTAACAATAGCAAGGACTCGTTGGCAGTGTGCATATCGATATACAATCACAAAAGGCTTGATCCAGCACTGTTGAAGTCAACTGTAAGCTGGAACAAGACCACAATACCCATTATGTGGCTTCTTACAAAACTGGCTTTCCTGAATATGAATATAGGACTTGCCATATAAGCACAAGTCACAGCATCAACTAAAAGTGTTCTGTTCATGGCAGTGCCTATATTGAATACAGATGTAATGGAACACGCACACATGCACGCAAGTTACCAAACTGATTATTTGAACAATTAACAGCTCTCTCAACAATTTAAATTCACATTTCATTTAAAAAAATGCAGTAGTGTTTGTCAAAATCTACAAATAGCCATATTTTGATGGCAGTTTAGAAGTAATTCGTGAGATTTAAAAAAAATTTCCAGAATATTTTTTTTTTTTTTTTTTAAACTTTAACTTGGTTGATAATTCTTCCAAAAGAGAATTTATTTCATGCCTGGAGAGAGATTGGGAATTACAAAAGATTTAAAAAATGGTCCCACTGAACAGATCTCTGAAATACTTTCAGCATCATAATGCTGCACCATTGAAGTTAAAATAGTACGTTATACAAAGTTAGTAGATGCTTAACTTCATCCTCTTTCAGGATACAAATGCTTCTACTTTAAATAGATTTCTACATTTCTGAGTTCTAATGCTAAACACTTACTGATGCATAATTTTCATGGACCTCTCTAAATACCCTTGAAAAATTATTACAGAAAGCAGTATAATTTTAATGAAAATAATTCACTAATACAAATTACCATGTAGACAAGCAGCTTTTTTTCTCTAAGTATATATACAGTTGCTAATGAGTCTCAAGTTAAAATTTAAGGAATTCTATTCTACATACTTTTAAAAACACGATTCAGTTTTAGGTTGTCCTTTAAAAAATTGCTTTTCTGGTTAGGCCAGCAGTCACAATAAACGACGTGCTTAGACATCCCTTCCAAAATATAAGAAATATCTAGTTGGATTTTTACAGTAAAAGACAACATGTATGACAAAAATATATACTTAGAACATACAAGAACTTTACAAGTTTATTCAACATTTGAAATACAAAACTGTTTTCATGCTAGATAATGACAAAAGACATGTATCTGGGATTTTCTCCCCATATATGTTCAGAGACTTAGAAATGACCAATAATCAAATGAATTGTATACCCAATACTATAGTAGCATGTAAAGTATTATAGTTTTCGCTTTCTCCAGCATCTGTAAGGACAAACTATTGTCCCAAGTTATTTTATCCACATTGCATTCTTATGGCAATAGGCACCTGCCAACTAAAGTAATGATGTGAAAAGGAAGCCAGAAAATATTACAAAATAGACATCATCCAGAATGTCTCTCTTTTTTTAAAAAAAGAAAAAACAAACAAGAATTTCAACATCCAAATTCTTGTCTTACATAGAAACACACTTTCATTTCTCTCACTCAGATGGATACGTATATAAGGCTTGAATTATGGAGGGAAAGCAGTGGTATTATTACTGATAATGACACAGGCCTGAACAGTCACGTGCTTGGGACCATGGTTGCCAGAGTCCTGCAATGGCATCAGAATCTCATTTTTAAAAAAAGTCTATAAACCCTCATTCCAAAATGTGAAGAAAAGCTTGTGAACATGACCCAAGCCAAAGAGATGCAGGAATGTCTGTTTGAGACTACAACCAGCCACAAGCAGAAAAGATGAACAGCACGAACAGGAGTCAGGAAAGGAGGAGACTGGGCCACAGACCAGCATTAGAGCAAACCAGGTTCACATGATTCTGGAAAGGGACCAGACAGGTCAGTGGGACAGCTTTGTTGCTTGTGGGATTGTTTTGGTCTTGGTGAAAATCAGAAGTGCAATCTCTGTTCTGCGCCCCCCCCCCCCTCTGATTTTCAGTTCCATTGGTCAAAATTGAAAACAGGGACAAGTGTTGCTACTCTCAAACGCTCCTCATTCATGGCCCTAAATGGACTGTCACATTTGTAGTACATTATCCAAACTTTCTTAATATATTTTTTGCTTTCCTTCCTTACCTGCCTTGACCACAAAAAGGGTTGGCTGATATTTAAATCATCATTGCTGGGGGTCTCACTGTCTTTATAGCTCAGAGAGATGAAGCACTGAATTTACACCTTTTAGAGTTGTTAACATTTCTAGCAGACAAAAATGTCTTAAACAACAAGGGTGACAATTTTCATTTTCAAGGTTTTAAATGAAAAACATAATAATAGCTAGAAGGTTATTTTCTCCCCAGATTTTAAAATTTGGGTAACAGCCTCAAGGCGGCTCAATCCAGGCCAGCACAACGTAAGACCCAAGACCTGATCTTCAGCCTAGTAGAGAATTCAAGATACACAAAATATACCTTCTTCACCACAAACTGCTACTTCATTCAAACAAGGATAATGGTCATCTCCCTATCCTACCAAGAAGAGCTCGCTGACTTATCAAAGATGCTGAATCCTTCAACTGTTCAGCAATTTCTACAAGTGTCAATTACTCACTCATGAAGGCTGTGTTGATGATACTGTAACAACCGATAACCAGTCAGCAATACAGTGTAGCCATAAACAACTGCCCCTCCCTTGCCCTGATCTCAGAGATGGCTCATCAATGAATTAATGTCAGACAAACGAAACCAGCGGACTCCAGCACATACACAAAACCAATATGCTGACAACACAATGGGTTTAGTAAAAGATCACACTACTATCACACAATTAAAGGATGTGGAAGCCCGTTCCCTGCTCTTCCAGCGGTAAATTACAAGGTGATATTATTTTGCCAAAGAAACATAAAAGTAAATCCAGATTACAGAAATAAGCCTCAGACCAAAGAATCAACCATGCAAAAAGCTCTCCTCCCTTTCATAGAAATTTAAGCTTACTACAAAAATTTAAAACAGAAAGCATCAGCCATCCCAGTTTGGTCCTGTTACAGTGGATAAAGGAGCCCTAAAAAAGTGTTTGAGCCATTACATGCAACTTAAGGTACAGCCCCTCTTGGTAAGAATAGAAGTTATTAACACTGTCTTGAAAGAGGCATGCCTGCCACCGTCCCTGATGAATGTAATGGTCTCCCTGAACCTCCACACATGATGCATGAAATAGTCACAGAGGCAAGCCCTAGGAGCTATAATGGATGATCCTCTTATGGCTACAGCAAACTTTCTAAATTTCATACTATCTAACCCGTTTATGTTTTAAAACACAAATTTATCAGAAGGTGCTGCCAAGCCATTCATAAGATATTGCTACGATACAATAGGCAGCATTCTTCTCAACTCATCCCAGAGGAGGGTGATGTTTTAAGGATGTTCACATGTAGGTCACACAAGGTTCTATTTTGATCCCAGCTGCTTTTCAGTATCTACATGAGGCTACTTGGAGAAGTGATGAGACACCACAGACTGCACAGCCAGTGGCCTCAGCTGAATAGTTTCTTTGAAAAGAGTCAGCGTCCTCACCAGTTGTCACAACGCCTGCAAAAAGAATGCACCCAAATGAGCAGTAGCTAGCTTAATCTGAATCCAAGCATGACTGGAATAATGCTCCTGGAAAAAAAAGAAGAGAATATTATTAAGGGATTACCTGAAATGGTTTCCCTCATTGGAATACCTGCTCATTGGAATATTCCCTCATTGGGAATACCTCCTAGTCATCAGCGAACCCAACCTTGGGGTCTGGATGGACTCGCCAATCTAGCGACACTGGGCAGAAATTTACACTTCCATTTCCAACTTGGGAGGAGCTTTTCTTTCTTCCTCTTGGAGAAACATCTGGTCACAGCTATACTTTGAGCAAAATGCTCAAAGTTAGGAGCCTATGTAAGTATGTAAATATGTAATCACCTAAAATCAGTGGTAGGCAACCTTTTTAGGCTGCGGGCGAAATGACTCTGCTCAGGTTAGAAGTGAGTAGGCAAGTGGGCACTAGGATACAACCACCACTACCAGTTCTCCCTACTGCAGCACAGATGAGGCCCCCCCTATGGTCAGGTCTCCCTGCTGTGGCACAGAGGAAGCCCCTGCCACTGAAGCCCTGCATCCAGGGGCTGGATCCAATGGTTCTGTAGGCCAGATCCAGCCCATAGGCTGTAGGTTGCCCATTCCGGACCTAAATAAGTAGTCTGATACGCAAAGTGCTAAACCCAACAAGACTTACTTGCTGCTCAGTGCTTTCCGAAGTCAGAACCCTGAAGATACAATTAAGAGCTTAGCCATTAAACCTCCAGTCCTTGAAAATCTTGGCCCACATGTTTATCACTGCCAGCCTGAATTACTGAAATAAGCTGTCCTGGGAGTTAGGCTGGAAACAAAAGGAAAGTTCTAACCTGGGCAGGATGCAGCAGTCTGTCCCTCTCAGGATCAAGTGGCTGAGGCCTGTGATGGTACTAAAAGTCAATGATGCTTAGACTGCCAATTCACTTTTGTAAATTAACTCTAAGTAGACTTAGAACTAAGTAGCTTATGACTTGCAATGCCAAGCAAAACAATACTAAATGTCTTTAAAAATCTGGGCCAGAGAGGATAGCCTCTGAACTCTGCATCTTCCAGTCTCTCTCTGAGCATTTCTCCTCAAAGCTGCAAAGGGAGCCAGATTCTACTATATCAGTGAGCCACCTCTCTTTCCCACAATCTGCCAAGATTACTGCAACTCTGGTAGCAGGACTAAACAAACAACCAAATAAACAACCAAACCACAAGACAAAGTAATTAGCATGTTATCAGTTGAGATGGTACTTCTGTTGAATGAGCTACCTGAGAACATTAGAGTCAGATCTGTTAGATCTATGATGTAAAACCAACTTTTTAAATAAAGGTTTCATATCATAATGGAAATGTTTAACAACAGTAATGTTTAATACACTCAAACAGAGAAGCCTTTCTAGCTGTGAAGGACTTGCACTTTGCAATGTAGATTACTCTGTCTTCTAGAGAACACATTAGACTGTCTTTTAGAGACACCTAAGCTAGCTTTAAAACAAGCTGAGCAGGACAGAGCCCACACACTGGGTAAATGCAGTCTTGCATCAGCTGGCTCTGATCTCTGCATGCATACGAACAAGTAGATAACTAACTCCAATAGTTTAAAGAATCTTAGTCGCATCTGATCTGGATCCAAAGCATCCTGCATGTCCCTATAAAAGTTTAAAGAAGCCAGAAGTATGCCACTTGGGACAGAAAATAAAAAAGATCCTCTCCCACCACCTTTTCCAAGAAGAACAGTGATTTAATTATGGAACAACTGATGCAAAAAAACACAAGCAATTGACATGAAACCACTGTTGTACTTGGATATGGCAGCATAACATAAGACATCATTTAATGACAAGAATACCAAAGATTGCAAAAAGATCATTTGACTTTCTTGGTCAAGGTGATGATCTACCTTTCTTGTTTGAAGTAGAATGGTATCGAAGACATTAAGATGCAACTATCACCCTCTTCCACACAAAAAAACCCCAAACCAAACCAAAAAACATTTACTACATACCAGTATTCTTGTGAACCATACTATTGAGAATGAGAGAGTAAAATTCTGGCCATCTCCAGGCATAATTTTTTTTTTAATTCCGTTTTGTTTTTAGCAAACATGTTCCAATTGCTTTGAAATATTACTGAACTACTACCTGAATAACTGATCTCTTTATTTACTCCTTTTAGTGGTTGTTTCCCTTAATTTTTTTGTTTTAAGGAATTAGGATTCTATAATGGGATTAGCAAACAGAACAGTAACAAGTGTCTGTACTCCTTGAGCAAAGAGAAACAAAATTCTAACAAAAATATAGATATATAAAACATCTTGGAAATTCAGTGATATGTGGGCATTTATCTTTTATTTTACAAACTAATATTGCACGCATGCTGACTTAGAAATTGCTTACAACATTTTTTTTAAAAAAACGGAAGTATTTGCTCTGACCAATGTTGTCTGTTTTATTCACTTAAATTACAATTTGGCCAAATCTCCTAAAATGTGTAAGGGATCCAACACATGGATCTCACCTCTACAATGAAAGTGAAGATCAGTTTCCATGAGGAATATACAGAAGAATTAGTACTGCCTCCAGCTGTGGTTCCCAAAGACACTAGAAGACAACCTAAAGTTTTGTTTAAATCTCATAATTATCCCAGTAATCCTCTCTTTTAGGTGCACAGCTATTGGGTTACCAGAGAGCTATGTACAAGAATGATGGGAGAGGGAAAAAAACTGTTGACAGAATTCAAAATTCACTCAAGTCCCTGTACTAAATAGCATTTCTTTAACTTTTAAGCCCAAGAAGTAGTGAAGAAACTTCCTAGACAAAAACAAAAACTTATCCTCAAATTCTAGTTGAACAGAACCATAAAAATCACTATAGTTGGAATCTTGGAACCATATTCTACCCCCTCTCACCTATTAAGATCTCATTAAAAAAAACACAACACAGTGGAAAATTATAAATGCTTTGTTAAAGATACCTAGCAGGTCTTCATAAATTAAACTGCATCCTCCTCTCTCCCCCTTGCAAAACAGACAAAAGTTTAGACAACTACTTGTGTTCAGAGAACAGAGGTTTATAACTGAAGACCTCCATTACAGAGGACATTGTACCATACCCCACTTACTTTTATGGGAGCAGCTTTTAATCACCCTTACTCACGAGTGGTATTTTACTCTGTAGAGAATACCACCAAATCAGCAGGCAGGATACATGTAAAGTAGAACATATTTTAAAAGAGAGAGACAGGCTCACACAGTGATTACGTAAGGAACCATTTAAAGATGCAGTTTCTTTTAAAAAAAAAACCAAAACCCATCAACTTCCAGCCTCCTTTAAAACTATATACTGTATGTAGTTCCCACTGTTCCCCAGCATTGTGAATCACCAGTTACATACAACTACCCACAGAATAAGTCTTATCTACAGGTAGAGATGTCCTAGTTTAATATCCCTTACTTTATGGGAATAATATGGTAAGATCAAAGATTGGGTATGGTGGTGGTGAAGTGCACGTTATATTAGATTTGCAAAATTTGATGCTATAATACACATTTTCTGTTAAAGACAATTTGCACAAATAAATTTGCATATCCAAGTGTAGAATAATCAAAATAGACAAAATACAAACTTTTGTGACTCTTTACAAAAATTAAGTCCAATTAAAAACTTAGGAAAAAGCATTCATTAAGAGACTATCTTCTGTGGTGGATATATGAGAAAGAAACGGTAGAATATAGGAGCTGGTAATAATACAGAAACAGGAAAAAGTTTGCACTCAGTGAAACCTATGCTTCTAAAGGCATCCAAAGCATCTGCTTTTTAAAGCTAAAATGAAAACAAACTGGATGTTAGGTGTAGGCCACGTGTGCACTTTACGACTTAGGTCCAGAATGACTGCCATGCAGCAGGGACAGCTTCATCTAGTCAGCTTAGGGACCAATACCAATTTATTTGTGGCAGGAGAGAAGTTAATTTATCATATTCCCAAGATAGCTTACATTAAAGTTACCTTGCATATCTTTGCATTACACTGCAGTTGCCTGTGGTACTATGGTGCAGGGAATTCTATGCTCTAACACTTAGCTTTCCTGGTTTTTCAGAAACAGAATTTTTGGATGCCTTGGATTTCTACAGTGTACGCAGGTGTTTTGATTTTAGTTGGATACTGCAGGGACGTGGGGAAGTGGGGGGGGAGACTCCCCCTCTCCCCACCAATAGGTTTGCACTACATCTCTTCAACATTAATTTCAGATTAATTAAACTTTGGCTCAGGTCTGCATCTATCTATAGTTTTTAATGTGATAATTTAAATCTGGTATAAAAAGGTTTTATTGGAACATACCTGGAAGGGCAGTAATACTCTTACCTGACAAAGAGCTATGACCAAAATACTTCTAAGTCAACAGAAATGAGTGCTGATAAACTTTACCACTCCCCCAGCCATCATGAATTTCTGCCTATGAACTACATATCACAGAGAAACTATTTTAGAGAAATAAAATGATGGGTTTATATTCCTGCTTCTATAAACTGAGGTGCTATAGTTACCACTGGCCTAGCTTGAGAGCTGCTAGCAGGTGTTGTAACACAAATATTCACCTTGATTAGCTTTTCTACACCTCAGATGTTTGACAGTGTTAATGCTTTAAATTATATAAAGTTCCCATTTCTGGCCAGACAGTGCTGCTAGATCCTGGAACTTAAAATGTGTCACTGGTCTAGGGCCAAATATGTTTTATTGTATTCCTCAGGCCACACTGGTTTTGGGTAGTACTTCACATTTGCAGGAAGAAAAAGTGTGTCAGATGAGTGTCCTTTAAAAAAAACTGGCTGTTTGAAGCTACTAGAACATAAGTTTCAGATGAAAAGGATTAATGGACGTTAATTAAATAATGAATATAACTAAGTGTTACACCCCGACAGCCTGTACTGAACCCTGAAAGCTTAAATCATTTTTACCATTAAGATTGCAAAATTTCTTTCAGTATCTTTGAGACCCAGCACTACTTCTAACCCTTTTGGGGCATCTGGCACATTCTGAGGGTCCACCGTAGCATTGTTTTGCAGAAAAGCTGTATTTTCAGGAAGCTTTTTACATTTACTAATGTCAATTTTTCTATCAGCCCTGCTCAGTTGGATTATAGTAATAACTAAGGCACTCAGTTTTACAAAAAGAAAAAAAGATACAAGACTCCCAATACAAATTTTTAAAACTTCCTTAAAACATTCCTAAAATAGTTTGCAGATTACATATGCACCAGATACAGTGTTTATGAGAGGTATAAATGGATTTTCCTGGCATTCCTTTAAGATGTCTTGTAACTCATTTGTGACTTTGTCCCTTTTGAGGAAAATGCAACCCTTTTGAATTCATGATGAAAACAACCCTTTATTCTCTGCCATATATCAAATATTTATGTACATGTCTACATGGACTTCCACCAAAAATCCTTCCATCCGTGTTATTCCCACTGCAGCTACATTAAATAAATAAAGAATTAGTTTACAGGTTACCTGTGAAACTATTGGGTAGAAATGCCATTCAAAAAAGGTTTTTGAAATGAACATAAAATAAAACCTAGCCTTCCAAAATCTGCTTGAAAAAAACCTGATAAATACACCACATGGGAATGAAAGAGTACTGAAAGCATTTTTTGTTGGTTTGTTTTTACACAAAAAAAATGAATTTGCTGTATAGTTGACATGACTCAGAAGATCAAGAAAAGAAATAATCCTCTCACCAGGAGAGGAATGTGGTGTTTGTAGTATCAATTCAGTTTCTTCTTCTGGGGATTCTTTTTATCTTCAGCATTTTCAGGACTGAAGTCAGTACAGAAGCCATTAGGGGCTGGAAGAGAGGAAGTCTCCAAACTGCTCTCAACTCCTGTTTGGTCAGGGTAGAGATACTCTTCTGCAAAGTCTGGATACATTTCTGTAAACCTGTAGAAGTCATCTAAAAAGAAACCATATAGATACTTTTGTCACATGGAGACTGCTACCTGTAAAACCAAAGGAAGACCTACCACTTCGACTATTTACAGCCATTCACATTTCACACGATTCTCTTCAATGTAAGGATAGCTGTCACTGTTGTCTACTTTTCTCTTAAGGTTTCAGACCCCAAAAGGGAGTTACGCAGGAGATGGGATAGGCAAGAGGGGGCAGAGAAAGCCACACAAAAATCTCAGGACAAATATTCATAAGCTTACTAAACACTGGAAACCACTGACTTAAGACACTGTAACCAAGTCCCTCTGTTAACCTCTTTGCAGTCTGCAGGCAATAACAAACCTCTTCCCTTTCAAATACTTTTTTTTCTTCTGTGTTATTAAACTTATCTATAATAACTCTTCACTTATTCTATAACTACTTCTGATAACTTATCTTTTTCCAAACTTCCCTGCCACTTCTTTTTGTGAGCGATTTCTTTCATTAATATATCACGGTTAATCAAAAGTATTCTTTACCAGGGTATTTAAGTGACAGGGTGTTTGAGAAAGGGTGTTTGTACCCACAAGCTTTTCTAACATCCCCCCCAACTATACAGCTGGTTTAGTTAAAGATAGTACCAAAAATCTTCTCTCTCACATGGAAGGATGAGAGGACAGATCAACCACAGGGGAAGAGAGACAATAGGCAAAAAACAGTGAGACACGATCAAGGGAGGTTAGAGAGACAATAAAAAATGGAAATCCATCACAGAGTAGGTGCAGCCTGAGAAGAGCTCATCCAAGTACTACCTAGTCTAAGGTAGGAAAATTAAACCACTTAAATACGGCAATGGATCTTTTAGGTTCCAAATTTTGATCTAGCTAAAATTACTCCATCTACATCATCTTTCCTTCTGAGTTTTGTTTTGTAAAGGCAACCAATGTTAGACAAGCTGCTAGGTATTTTAATATATACTGAGGCATCTTTGACCACTCACTTGTGTAAAGCATTTCAAGTCCATTTTAACACTTACCAAATGTGATTGTTCCTTTCTCCCCTTCATCTATAGCTCTGAAGAGGTTTGTTACATTGAGTTCTGACACACCCATGGCAGTCTTCAGAATGCAAGCTAAATTGTCTTCTACTATAGTTCCATTTTCTGACTGATACATCTATAGAATAATGCAGGAAGGCAAATTACTACCAGCATAATTGTTAGAAAAATAACAAAGTTAAAATAATTCCCATATGGGCAAAATTTGTTTCTGATAAATCAAGTACATCTCAGCTAGATTCATTTTTGCATATGTACAGTGCTTTCTATACAGGGATCCTACTAATGAATAAAGCTACCCAAACCAGATAAAATTGTTGATTATCCCCATTTTACAGAAACTGAGCTGGATCAAGGGAAGGGGAGTGAGGAGGGGGCAAAGTCAACTAGGGCAGAGTCAACGGGAAGAGGAGAGGGGCAGGTAATTGCAATAACTGCCTGCCCCCACCCCCATTGCCCCTTACTCGTTTCTAAGACAAACTACTCTCCTCACCCCAAATGTTAAAATGGGGGGAAAAGCCTTGTTGCGGAATTGTGCAAATATGGTATTCAATGAGCTACATGCATACATGAAAAAAAAAAAATAAGTCTTACTGTTACAGGGTGTCAAAGGCCAAGAGCTTAATATGATAAAGAAGGACTGTACATTTCATGGAAAACAAAGATGCTAGGAATTACATGAGGGCAGTTGTTCTCAGCCTTTTGCACCCCATGTCCCACCCACCAGAGGTGGGTCGAAGAGCTGAGGGGAGGGGGATCCCTAAGCGGCCAGTCAAAGAGTGGGGAGAAGGGGCAGTGGTAGGAAAAAAACCTAACCAGTTTCAAGGAGAGGGGGAAGGAGAGAAACAAGGAAGGAGGGGCAGCAGTGGATAGAGGACCCGAAGGAATCCTTGATGGCTTGGAACCTTTAATTTTGAAATAGGTCCCTTCAAGAAACCAAGGACCCACTCCAAGACATTCCCTTTCTCCTAAATAATGCACAACAAAGGAACGCACATGCTGCAAAATGAGGGAAAAAAACCTCACTGAAATCTTGCTTCTAAACTACATTTAAAGACTAAGAGTGAAGGTGGATAGAATCAGCTGTTTAAACACAAAAAACCAAGGACCCTAATCAGTCTGGGCTAGCAAGTTATAACCAACCTATTGTAGCAAAATTCAGGAGACAAGCTTTGCTTCCAGTGGGTCTCATGTAAAGGTGCCTAGGAGTTCATTTCCCAAAAGACACTATTTTTAGTACTGAAAAAAAACTGCTAGAAAAGTAGAACATTGGAAGCTGATTATTCAGATTGGTGCTAAAGAATCACACTTCTTCCCAGCCAGCCACAACAGAAAAAGTTACAATTTGCCACAGTCTAATCTACCTGTTCTGAAGATTTTTTATACATTCACTTAATCCAGAGGCACTCAATTTCTGGCCCACAAGCCAAATCCAGCCCCCAGAATCATACTATTGGGTCCATGGAGAGCCTTGCAGGCTGTGATCCTGTCTGCTAGTTTGGGGGTGCAAGGCCCAATCCAGGGTGTGGGGAGCACTGGGCCAGACCCCCATGTGTGAGGCTAGACAGGGGTGGCACAGGGCCCAATCCAGTCCACAGACATGTCATTCACCTGGACCACATGGCCAAAGCCTTGAGCACCAGTGACTTAGTCTAATTTCATTCTCCAGTTCAGCTAAGTGCATATCAAAACAGAAATACTGCAGAACTCCCCGATACAGGGGGTGTGAGACACTAGTTACAGGAGCTCCTTTGGGGGGTATCAGACCTCTAAAATCCTAAGAATTCTTCACCTCCAGAACTACCCAAAGTTGTTCAAAATTTGAAGGCAGGCCTGGTCTATACCCCTGTAAGATTCCTGAGCTTCTCATGTTTCTCTTAGGGTAAAGAACTAACCACAGAATGATCTTCTTTCACAACTCCTCCGGGCCTTTTCCTCTGTAGGCATTGGCATGGTGATATACAATTTGCTTTTGCAAATTAGTATATCCTTTTTCCTAATGGATGTGAGGTTTCTTAGTTCCCAAAACCTCTAGTACAGAGCAAGAAGGTGGCCCCTACAATCCTAACCATCTCAAATTACCAGACTATATCCATCTGTTGACGCCAAGTCTCTTCTGATGATCACCAGCTTCAAATAATGAAATACAGAAACAAGGACACAGGGAGGTATTGTAGGAAAACAGTCCTGGGTGCTCTAGAAATAAGGCTGCCTCACAGTTTTGCCAAAGGAAAACCCCAAGTCTGCATGTAAGCCAGTGGTGATAACACAAGTCTCATCACTTCTCCAGTCAGTTGACTTGGAGCTATACTATATGTGTTCTTCCTCCAAACGACTCTCAACCAACCTTGAAAAGGTATTATGAAAAGTATCTGTGCTATGTTTCAATCATATATGACAGCTGCTTGCCCAGTTTCTTAAACGCACGGAATATCACCTGTTGGTATATGCTGCAAACATACATATAATGCCAAGCAAGATGACACCCATCCTCCCCTCCCTGAACACATTTGTTGATATAGTTCTGCAAGTTTTGTCCCTCTTGAAGCTGAGCTTCCTTTAATGGGAGGCAACGTGTTGCAAAAGGAAAAGAGAGAGAAGTAAAAGGTTTTGATTAAATCAGGCCTGTCCAACTAGTGGCCCACAGGCCACATGTGACCTGCAAGAGGTTGAGCTGCAGCTCTTCCCCTCCCCTCACCCCATGTGGCTGCCACTCCCCCTATTGCTCCAGTTGTAACAGCAGCTGGAGTCTCTGGATTTTCCCTCCCTCCTCCAGCTTCTGCGTTCTGTGGCCAGGGGGGCTGGGGCAAACATACACTTTAGCAGGGGGTGCATCTACCTGGCATGCAGCACAGAAGCCCTTTTGGTGCAGCCCATGGAGCAGCTGGAGGGCGTCTGCTTAAAAGTTAGACAGCCTTTTGTTAAATAATTCAAAGCAGCAACAATGAAACCCAAAGATGCTGAAGTATCACAAATAAGTGCCCTCTCTCAAGTTATTGTGCAGGTCCCCCCAACCATGAAGGTGACAACTGGACCATCTGGAATCTTTACTACATTGCTCTGAGGACTCTGCCGTCAAAAATATGCAGTTCTCAGGCAGGGACATACTACATACCTGATGTGAAGTCTGGAAAGGGGTGTTACAAAAGTACAGATGGTCATATTGGCTGCAGTTGAGAGGATCTTTAAATGTAGTCACTGGGCAGCTGTCAACCAGCACCAACTCCCTCTCATAGGGACTGGAAGCAACCTTGCAGAAGTGAAGTCCTTGCAACCATGGAATATGGAGTGGCTACTGTGAACTAGTTTTAACATAGGAACCAGATTTGACCTTCTGCATGTTCACCAAGAAGTCAAATGCACAGAAAAGCTTCATCAGGCTCTGCAACACTTCAATAGAAGAGCTCCCTTCTACCAAATAATTTTCTCAAGAGGGGCAAATTGTGACCTCTTGCTAATCCAAGAGGAGCATCCATAACTAAGAGGAACTAGGTGAACATTTTTGAGTCCACTGACACACCAAAATAGAAGGACATTGTCCTGACCCACCAAAGTGCAAGGAAATGTGGAAATAGGAGTCTTGTGGGAGAGGTGTGAACCTCACCTCCTCCCACAAAGGTATGTTCAGTACTGAACTCAACCATCTTAACACTGAGCTTCAAATGGAAGTGTTGAGTCTTCACATATCCAACATGGGGCTCTAGACTTTCCTTCCTCTTGGGACCAGGAAGGAACTATTGCAGAACCCTTTGCCTGAAATGCAGGGTTTGGAAATGGCAGGAGCTTTGACTGTTTCTAAAGCCAAGGAAGGAGAGTTCTTCCTGCTGTAGAAAAATGAGAGAGGTCTCTGAAAAGGGACAGAGGGGGACTGGGTGCAAAATGAACCCAAACTAGATAATATATCCCCTTTACTACCCTATCCCGAGACTACTAGCTCAATGGAATTTGAGCCCAGGCTGAATGAAAATGGTCCAAGTCATTGTTAAAAGGGAGAAACTAAGAGACCAAATGGCACCAAAAGGAGCTACTGGCATCTCATCATTGCAAAGGCCCTGTCTGTAATCCAATGCATACTAGGAAGAATCTGGTGCTACACAGAAATGTTCCCTCTTTTTAATCCATTGGCCCTTTTAGCCATTTTCAATGGGTGATAATGTATGCAGAGGCTGCTTATGGGCAGAAGATAGTACTTTGGCTTCCTCTTTGGAGCCTGCAACTGAAACTTCAGGCTTATGCACTTCATCAGATCTCAGTCCAAAACCTCAAATGCAATCCTGCTGACCTCCTTCAGAAAATCAGAAACCTGCTGCCAATAAGATCATATCATGACAACTACCACAGACAAATCATATTTCAGCAGCATCCAAGGCAAATTGTAAGCAAATGATAATGTTACCTCTCTGGAAATAAGAGGTAGAAGGACTTTCATATGTCCTATTGGTAAGGAGTCTACAACATTAACAACATGACCACACATGTGGAGTCATACCTGGCAAGGAGAGACTCATCGTCTGCTATTTCAAAGCTGCAAGTTAGTGGAAGAGTCAAATAAGTCCAAAAGTTTAGGCTCCTTTGTGAGGTCAACTATGCTGCTTTCTCTTTGCAATAGCAGCAGCAGCAGCAAAAAAGAAGGCATAGGGTGAGCGTCAAAAATGCTCCATCTCTTTGGAAAATGCACGGTTCTTTGGCTACAGACTTGAAGTCAGGGAAAAAATACCTGGCATCTGCCAGATTGCTTTGGGAGTGTGTACAAGAGCCTTGTTTACTGAGCCTTTGTGAAAGCTCAGTGAATCCCCCCCAGATCTGTAGTCTTTGCTGCATGGCACATCAGTTCCTGAACATCACAAAGATCATCCTATGTGATGAAACAATTCTAGAACAACAGTCTTGGCCGGAAGGATGACAACAAGTATGGATTATTGCCATGTGGACTGCATTCTTGAATTTGGAATCAGAGAACCCTTTTGATCTGAAAATGTATAGGTGGCTACTCCAGATGCATGTGGTACATCAACAGCAAGGGATGAGACAGCACACAGTTAGACCCAACCTTGAACTCAGGGAGAAAATGACAATCCAAAAGTCACATCAGAAGTAGACAGGAACCCTGAGACTCCT